TTTGATAAAAACTCAATGAGACAAAAAAAAAAAAAAATCAAAACGAAGGAAAAAAGTACAGTTATTTTAGAGTATTAAAGATAAATGCTGACCTATTAAAATCTTGCTAAAAAAATTCAAAGGGATAAAACTTAAACGAAGGAAAAAGAGTACATCTACGCTCCTTGACGTCGATCATTGAAAATTTTTGAGTCAACGTATTACAATCTTGTGAATCAATTTCTTGAATGTAGATGTTGACAGTGGTTATGTAAATAAATCGGTCAAGTTGACACTTGAAAGCATTATCTTCATATAAAATTGTTTGACTATCTTTTGTTGAAATTAATTTGCATGATGCTTTGATATGATTGGTCATGTTCCTTAACCATACACATTCTCGACATGCTTCATGGATTGCAATAATTTCAGAATGATTTCAGGATGTTGCTATCAATGATTGTTTCACAAATCTCCATGATATAACTGTTCATCCACGTGTAAACACGTATTCTGTTTGTGATTTAGTTTTATGTGGGTCAGAGAGATAACCAGCATCTATATATCCCACTAAAGCAGATCTCGACTTTTGAGAATAAAATAATTTCAAATTAATAGTACCATTTAAGTAACGAAAAATATGTTTAACATCATTCCAAAGTCTGTGTGTTGGTGTAAAACTATATCTTGCAAGGAGATTTACAGAAAAAGATATGTCGGGTCGAGTGCAAGTTGCAAGATAAGTTGATGCTCCAATTGCACTAAGATATGATATTTCAGGACCAAAAATCTTTTCTCTATCTTGAAGTGGACGAAAATGAATCTGTTTTATATCAAATGATCGAACAACTATATGTGATGTCAATTGATGTGCATTATCCATATAAAATCTTTTTAAGACTTTTTCTGTATATGTAAATTGATGAACAAATAATTCTTATGAGAAATGTTCAATTTGCAACTCGAGACAGAATTTGATTTTTCCCAAACATTTCATCTCAAATTCATTTTTCAAATAATCTGCAATTTTGTTGGGCTCTTCAAAAGAATCAATTAAATTTAAGTCATCAACATAAACTGCGATAATTGCAAATTCAATATTTGTTTTCTTTATGAAAACACATGGGCAGACATCATCATGTTTATACCTTTCTTTCAACAAATATTCGTCTCAATTCATATAATGATCTTTGCAATTTAATTGAGAACATGGTTCTCAGGTATGTATCATTTGTTTATTGCACTTTAAATCATCCAGGGACTTTCATATTTATG